GAAAAAACATACTTGAATGAGGAACGGATACAAGCAGAACTCACTGCACCACAGTATGATAGGGTAAGAGGGAGTTGTCAGTACTCATGTTAACTTAACCCACAAGTTGTAGGAAGCCATGCTATGTCTCATTCAGTACTTACTAAGAAGGTAGTGGGAGATAACAGTATGAATGTTGTTACATTAAACTAGTTTATAGAATCTTAGTGGTGGACAATTGTTTTCTTGTGTTGCAGATGTGTGAGCAAGCATGAACAAGATTGAGATATCAAGTCAAAGCTGTTTTTGTCTTGTCACGCTGGAAGACATAACTATGTCAAGGTACTATGATGGTTTGAATAACTTTCTTCCTGGCACCCAGAAAATTGTTCACAGACTTCGGGGAGCCAGCCAGCCAGCCTCGCTGCATAGACAAGTGAATTGTGAAAGGAATAGTACATATTGTTCTGTTATGATCTGCTTGTGCAGAGTAGGCAGAGCTGATTTAACTCTGTGTGACAAGAGTATGAAACCTCAAATGCTAGGTCGCTAGTGTATCATTATTGCACCTTGTGTTGTTTGTGTCTGTCTGACGTAAACTATGATTTTAGTCATCCAATCAGAGTTCAGGGGCAGAGCTGTGTGTCGGGCAAGGGGAGTTTCTGTTTCAGAGGTTAGTATTAGAAAGGACACTACATGTGTTTTAAACTTTGCAAGAAATAAGTGAGCTTGGGAATGGGAGGGACTGCAAAATAGAAAGCTGTGGGCAGGTGTAAATAGGTATTTTTAGATAGAACACACTTGTTTTGTGAATTTTAAAGCCAAGGGAAACAAATGTTATTTGTAGTGTCTGTCTCTAGCTCTGTCAGTGTGTGTCGTGAGGGAACTTCTAAGCGAGCTCCTCAATGAGGTTTCTAGTACAATATGTTTTCAATCATCATGGTAAGCGAGGAGAATGTGTGAAATAAGCTCTAAAGGTTAACTTCCCTAACAAGAGATCACAGTAAGGTTATTTGATCTGTTGTTTTGTTGGTAGCATGGTTACATCCATAAAGAGTCCAGAGCGTAGGGAACATGGTATGTATGTGAAGAAGGAGTAGACTTTTTGGAGGGCAGGCAAAAGAAGCCAAATAGCTACTTCTATCCACTTACTATGAGAAACATGTCGCAGCTGAGTGGAACAGGTGATGGGGAACACCAGTGTCTGTAGTATCAAGAGCATTGTCCTGTGGTATGAAATAACGCCTTTCGTACTCGGAGAGCAGTGGCACAGCGGTAGAAAGTGTAGTTCCGGTACCTTACATGGCAGATGCTTTTTTGTAGCAATATAAATAATGTGGATTATACATCAGAATGTGAGAACAAAGTGCCTGCATGAGTGTGTTTCCTAGCTGAGGCAGCTTTCCCTACAGTGAATACCAGTTTAAATCAACAGCATTGCAATGAGACCACTTTGCCAGTTCATGTGAGAGATTGTTCTATGACCAGTCTGAAAGGTATGCTTGTGTGTTGCAGGGACTAGGTGTGGAGAAAGAGAGAGAGAGAGAGACAGATATCAAGTCACGTGGGTATTGGCTGTGGCACACAGAAGAGTTAAACAAGTAGTGCTTTGTTGATAAACTGGTGAGTGCAAGGCAGTTCACAGTACCACACTTTGAGAGGATAAGGGCCAGTGATTTCTGTACTCATGTTAACAAAAACTAATACCGCAAAGGCCTTGCCTTGAGATGTTTGATTCAGTGCATAACAAGAAGGCAGTAGGAAATAACTATTAGAAAATTGTTACATTGTAATCGATTACAGAATCACAGTGGTTGAGAGTTAATGTATTCTTGTCTTGCAGGTGTGAGCCAGCATGGACAAGTTTGAGATATCAAGTCAGTGCTGCTATAACGTGTAACACAGCGCAGTCAAATAAAATAGTGAGAGGTAGTAGAATGAAGGTTTCAATATCTTCCCTCCTGCTTCCCATTAAAGTACTGTTTTCACAGCCTTTGAGAAGCCAGACAGCCCGCCTCGCTTCATAAAAGAGTGAATAGATGCAGATAGTGTTTGCATGTGTGTTTTTTCTTACTCTATGGTGGATCCCTGTGTGAGTATTACTCATATTTTGTTTGAGAATTTCAATGGCTAAGCAAGAGAATGTGATGTGTAAAGTTGTTCTGTTTGTTAGGTTAAGTTTTCGAAGAACACATAAGAGTTTATAGGTTCCATCGTCTTGTTTGTTGGGCATGAGTTACTTAGAATGTAAAGTTCAAAGAGTAGGGAGTGATTAGCGTGGAAAGCACAGAAATTGGTAGCAAGAGTTAGTTAATAATAAACTAAAACACGTGCAGCTGTACATTTATTTTTTAATTCCTTATCACACAAAATATAAACTGTATTTCCACAGCAAGTGTTTGATCTGCTGATATGTGTTGTCCCGTATGATTAGAAGAGCATCTCTCAAATCAACAAAATTTGATTTTAGCTCACAGCCATGGTAGGAACTGTTCCTCCATTGCGAGAGAGAAACTCCCTCAAAGTTCTCAATTAGAGGTATTTTTAAGCCTAGTGCCATGGCACATGTAATTGAGATCTTTTACACATAATGGCATAGTAGTAATTATAGGTGGGCAGAACGATATTAACTCAGGTAGTCACTTTGATACAGAGGAACACTTAACAAAATACAAGAGACTGCCAAACACACAAATGTAATCATGACCACTCTGATCTCCTGGCACAAAAACATTCCAATAATCAATGAAATTAAAATATCAAACCATCATATAAGACAGCACTTAAGAGGGACACCTATCACATTTGTTGATCATGAGAACCTCTCAAGAAAACATTTTACTCAACATGGTCTCCACATGAACCCTGCCACCCCACATGTATCTCCCATCTATTCTTCCTCCTCTCCATTCAACTCTCTTACCCACTCCACATCTTTCATCATCATCCAGACCTCTCTTACTCCCACAAGTTCCTTCTCCTAACCCCACTCCACTTCTGCCAACCTCATCATCTTTCTTATCATCTCCAGCCCCTTCACCTACTTCCCCATCCCATCCGCACATACAACTTCCATTGCAACCAATAACCCAATCCTGTGTATAACATGTAGCATCAAACATCAGCTGGAAAGCAGACAATGCACAAAAATAAAAACAAATTTCACATTCTTCACCAAAATGTGCAGTCACTGGAAAACAAACTCACTGATATAGTATTTTACTTGAGGAGGAACAACCACATTTCAATATTGTGCTTGACAGAACACTGGCTGACTAAAGAATAACACATATACCAGGGTTCTCTCTAGCCAGCAGCTCATGTCTAAATATTAACAATGCACATCATGCATATGGTGGGTATTTTTATTAAAGATACATTAGTTTTGTACTGCACACCAGTCACACTCATAAAAGAGAAAGTCTTTGAAATATCCATCACCGACTTAACTTATGCACATATCACAGTCGTACTGGGAATTTGAAAATCTTTTTAAAAGTTTTTAAAGAAGTTATGCTAACACAACCTCAAAAACGCAAATATAAAATCGTTATTTGCAGCGACTTCAATATAAATTGCCTCACACAATCCAGTAATGAAATTCTATTTAAAGACATACTAAAATCATACAATTTAAATTGCGATCTAAAATAAAAATAAATTGTGGATGACCAAAGGCATCAAAGTGCCACGTGAACGAAAACGCAACATTTATAAAATACTAACAAATGTATCTCAAACATCATTTCATATTACAAAACATATAATTTGATCCTTAAAAAAAGTAATGAAACAAGTAAAAATTGTGACATGATAAGTACATTGCAAATGCATGAAATAACACAAAAGCTTTGTGGGACATTATCAAAAATATTACAGCACCAATAATATCAGAAAAAACATAGAGCTCCACTACTAAAACCAAACTGTACAAGACCCACAAGAAATAGTTGATATATTCAATGAACACTTTTCACAAATTAGTAAAAAGTTAATCTATCCCCATTCTCCAATCAATAAAACAACATCCCCTCTAATGTTAGACAAATTGTAAATTACATATTATTACACACAACCCAAAAAAGTACCCTAATAGAGGGATTACACTTCATAACAAACTAGGCAATGATATTAAAGGCATTAACACAATTCATACATTTAAAAGTGAATTGAAAGCTTTCCTGCTTAACATGTTCTACAATGTGAAGGAGTATTCAAGTCACAACACACTGCTGAAGCAAATTAAAAAAGAACTGGCATATCGTGTCCTGTGACATAGAAGGAGAATACCTAACAAAAATTTCTGATTCTCTCTGGATTTGCTAGATGCATTAGGTGCTGCAGTCAAAACCTGCCTCCTCCTCACACGTTTCAAGTTTTAAATATGGAATGTACTAATATTGTTAAATTTTATGTAGTTCCTGCTAGAATTGATATCATGTACTGTTTTAATATCATTATTATTATTAAAGTAGTAGCAGTAAAATGACAATAACAAAGTAAATATTACTTTAAACAGGAAACTACAAATCTTGAAATGTTAAATTATTTGCTACTAAAAATTATTACTGTATAATATCATAATCTATCTTAAGCAAGTATTGTAGTATAATTCCGAGGTCAATGATCCCAATTCGATCAGGTTTTTTGTATAGTTTCGCTGGTTGCTTGAGCAAATGCTGAGATGGCTCCTTGTTTAGCTCCTGAACAGTAAAGTAACTTCACTCTCTCCACCCAAGACATCATATTGACTCATCATACACAATTGTAATTGTAAATGTGACTCAATATAATTATTATTATTAACATCAATTGTTTGCAGCTTGAAACATCAATTAACTCTTTCGTCGTAATAGCATGGAAAAATACGTAATTTTATTATGTTCTCAAGCAAGTGCACAGGCTGACATACCGGACTTTGGCTGAAAAGGACTGAATATCCACCACAAGCATCAATCCCATAGCTAACTTTCTTTTTATCAAAAACATGATATTAATATTACAACAAGAGAAAGAAACAACTACAAGACATAAGGATCTATTGTAATAACATACATCAAACTTTATTTTACAGATGCCACACAATTACAAATTTCTTTAATAAACTCTTTTGGTATTTAATAGCACTTCCCACATTTAAAAAATAAACCACAAACTCTCCATTAATACACCCTATGCTGAAAGAACATAATTATAGACGACTGGAAATTTAAAGAGAAAACTTGATTTCAATTCAGTCTCAAAAATAATCCCACAATACATAATGGAAAATGTCTTGTTGTTGCAGTAACTTACGATTCTTTTTTAATACAAGGCCAAAGGCAATCACACATTAAATAAAAATTAACCAAAAGTTAGCTTTAAAACATGAAATGGGCTTAGGTTACACACTGAACACTTTTTTTGTTTCGTTCCACACTTTTAATGCACATTTATAACAGCAGAAAACGTGCACAGACTTTTTGTGTAAGAAAGCACCATCTTTTGGTCCATCGACACACCTAAAACAGAGCTCAGGTTGGGGGGACAGTATCTGTCTATCGCTTCTACGGGGGGGGGGGAGGTCACCCTGCTCCCCAACTGCAGCTTTTGCGAAGAGCCATCTCTCTTCCTCCGACGCTTCGGACGTTCAGGAAAGTAACTCTTCCGCAACTGGTAGTACTTGGCGCAATATCTGGTCAAAGGGGTGCGTTTACGCTTACATCGCGCACATTCCCAGAAATCTGCCAGAGGAACATCTCTGTGTGGATTTTCCGACTCAGAACTTGAACAATCCGCTAAAATATCTCTTTATTCTCCGATGTGGGCAGATGTTGGTGCAGGAAGAGTTTTAAGGATGTCATCACTTCCAGATGAATCACAATTGCTCCATAGTTTCTCGGGCGAAGGGATAGATACAACATTATATTCCATATCACTTTCCACAGAAACTATGACTTCTCCTGGTGACACTTGTATCTTTAGCGGAATCTGTCCACGCCAGTCAAACGCTATTTGCACTTTCGCTGTCGTCATCAGTCGGTAACGGTGATTCCGAATCCAACACGTACGTAACATGACATTTATTATGCTCGCACGAATGATCTATACCATTACTGACTCCTTCATCCGTATCAGGGGAATGGGGCCGTTTCCTTGAGGGCAGATTAGAAAAAGACATCTCCAAGCTCTCTGTATTAAATGTCCGCGGGAACTGACTGATCTGAATTTTTAACTAACATGCGCATGCGTAACAAGTCAAAGATATTTCAGTCGAATTTACTTTCATTCTATGTGCAAAGTGTAGGAAGCGATTTGAACGGAACGCGTGCTATTTTTAATACCTGTACGGTGAGAGATGATGTTTCATTTTTTCTTTAATTGGCAGAGTTATCACAGAAAATATAGGCCATCTTAGAAAGTCTATCAGATGGTGTAGTTATAGAGACAAGTTAGGAAGGGGTTCGGCTATCACTGTCTTTTTGAAGGTGGTGATTATAAGATTGGTAAATGAAAAGAATTCACTTAGAAAGAGGGAACGGTGTTAAGCTATGGTGGGTTCAGGAGGAAGTATAGTGGTGAGGAGTAAGCGATTACATTTGGGAATTGTGGCTGTTCTCAGTAGTGATATACACGGCCTAGGAAAGAAGAAAGTGATTTCGCGTGTCTTTTGAATGAATATTTTAGACAGTCTTGTCTGCCTGTCTTTCTCTTGAGAGTATGCCAGTTAGTTTGCACAAGCAAGATGTGAGATGACTTATTTATTCTGCGGCTGTAAATAAAATGGTACCAATTGTTCTTTTATGATGTGCTTGTGTTGCGTTGGTAGCGAAGTTTGTGCTGTGATCGTGCTATGTATACTGGGTTCTCAGTTACACATGAAGAGAGGTTGGAGCTTGTCTTTAAAGTTCTCTTCTGTGGAGGAGGTACATTGCAGAGAAAAATAGCTCTTGTTTTGTTTGTCGCCAAATTACACAAACAATACTCATTTTCAAAAAATTCAACATGACCGTATTTGAAGATGACCGCTTTAAATATTGACCCATTTCATTAAGAAAAAAAAACTTCACTATTGTAGTTGTAGGGAGATAAACACGGTCATAAACACGGTGCTGACGCGTTTATAAAATAGCTGCATTACCCACCTGTACTTTCCGGAAAATTGGAAATACGCAAGTATTTCTAAGCTTCCGAAACCCGGCAAGGATCCCACGATCGCGCCGAGCCGCCGGCCTATCAGTCTTCTCCCGGTTATGGGAACGGAGGCTGCTACTCGCTCGAATTTTGCCAACTGCTCTCTCGCGGAACCTCGTCCGAGATGAACAATTCGCCTTCAGACCGGGCCATGGGGTGTGCCGAGTTGGATGCGGGTATTTTCGATGTGAGTTGTAGGAGCTGGAGGGAGTCGAGTGTGTGGGATGTCTTTTCTGATAAGTATTGCGGTGCTGCCTCCGAGTGTCGGTCGCTCCGTTCGGTAAGTCAGAAAGTCGGGAATGGTAAGTTTGTGTCCTGGTGTGTCTCTTGTATTGCAAGTATTCCGACGGAGTAGTCCTTTATATATACTTTGATGTCGTCTAGCTTCCGGGTAAGTCCACCGTTTGCGTTCCAGGAGATGATGTTCGTGATCTTTTGTCTGGTCATGAATTTGGAAGAGGTCTATGATTTTTGTTGCGATGGAGATGAGTTTAGTCATGCTGTCTTCAGGTCCTTTGGCGATGGCGATGATTGATTTGATGGATGAAATTATTTTAGAGCGGTTACATGATTTTATGAGGGTGAATAGCTCTTTAAGTTCTGAAAATGAGTTGGTACATGAGGTGGGGTTGGAGGAGTTGTTGATGACGTTTGCATAGGTTTGAGTTAGAGTCGGATTAGTGGGTGGTGAAACAGGTGATTTTGCAATCTGTGGGAATTCCTGAAGTGAAGGGGTGTGGTGGGTTGTCCTTGTCGAATTTGTGTTTGTTGAAGTTGCATGTTTTTCAGTTTGTCTTCTTTAGCTATCAGTAGCGTCGGGTAGTTGGGTGAAAAGGATGGGTGGTCGTTTTGGCAGTTAACACATTTGTAGTACTCATTGGGGCAACTCGAGGTGTGGCGATTTTCGCTGCACTTCCCACAGATTGTCTGTGGCAGTAGTGTTTCGTGTGGAACAGTAGTTGACAGTTGTCGCAGCGTGGGATGTGAGTTGTCTGGTTGTAGTCGTGTACTGTAACTTTGTAGTGTAGTAGGTTGCGTAAGATGGTCTTTATAGATGCGGTCTGCGCTTTGTCTGTCTCGATGACGTACAGTCCGAGTCCTGAGAGGGAGTTGTCGAGGTTACGTCGTTTCATTTCTGAAACGTGGTAGAAGTTGATGTTCTGTCTCGTGAGTTCGCTTTTGATTTCGTCCAGGGCGATGCTAGGTGATAAACGTTTGATAACTAGTCTGTCTCGTCGTTCTTCTGTCATGCGGCGGTGATGGTGGTACAGGTTGTCTTGGAAGTATTTATGTCAAGTCTGGCGTGATTTCAATGTCCTCAATTGCCTTGAGCAGTTTCCTGTATGAGGGGGGTACGTGATTGTAAAACTAGTTCTTTCTTTGTACTTTTGACATAAAAGCCGTCTGGGGCAGTCTTCTGAAGGTCCTGTAAAAGTTTTTGGAGATGTCTTAGTCCGTTGTTAACGTGGATGGATCCAACTTTCGCTCTGCTTTTGATCGTTTGTCTGTCAGTCAGGGAGGGGGGTCAGCGTTGTCTGGAGATTTGTCGATGTCCATGATTACTTCTTGAACTGGCAGGTTGTCAAATCGGTTGTGGGTAGGTGCAGGTGGTGGTATTTTAGGATCAATGATTTAGGTTTATTAGGTCGGGAGGTTGACTTGAATGAGGGGACATTTGATTCT